CCGGCCTCCCCCCCCCACCCCCAAAACTCAGCGTTCTCCTCCCCACGGGCATCTCCCCCTGCCCGGCATCCCGCCCCCCTTCTCCCGGCATCCCCCCCCCGTCCGCTCCGCTCGGTGCCCGGGGCTTTCCCAGCGGGATCAGCCGAGCCCCAGCGCCAATCCCGGCTGTCCCGCCGCCCTCCCACTCCCGGCCATTGGCCCGTCCCGATCTTTCGAAGCGGCTGCGGGCCGGGACCGCCGGGGGACGGGAGGGTGGGAACCCCTCGCCTCCTTCTCCACCTCCCGCTCCGAGATCCGTGTCCTCGAGATTTTTTGGCTCCTGCTGTAAAAGAGCTGAGCCCCACTTTTTTTTTTTTTTTTTTTTTTCCCCGCTTCATTTTTCTTGCCCTTCTCCTTCTTTTTTCCCCTCTTTTTCCCTGTTTTCTTTATTATTTTTTTCTTCATTTCATTTTCTCCCCCTCCCCTTCCCCACCTTTCTCTCCTTTCCCCTCTTTTTCCTCCCTTTATCCCACTTTTCCTCCTTATCCTCTTTCCCTCTTTTCCTGCCTTCCCTCTTCCCTCTTTTCCTCCCTTTCCCCCGTTTCCTCTTCTTCCCTTTTTCCCCCCTTATGTCATCTCTTCCCCCTTCTCTTCCCCCTTCCCCCCCTTTTTCCTCCCCTCTTCTCTTCCCTTTTTCTCCCCTTCCTGCCTTTCCCCCTTCCTGCCTTTCCCCCTTCCACTCCTTTTCCTTCTTTTTCCCCTCACTCCTCCCTCTTTCCACCCCTTTCTCCTCCTTCCCCTCTCTTTTTAATCTGTTTTACCATTTTTACTCTTTTTTTACCCTTTTTTACTCTTTTTACTCTTTTTTTATCTTTTTTATTTTTCCCCTCATTTTCATACTATTTTCCTGCTTTTCCTCCCTTTTCCTGCCTTTTTTTCCCCCAGACTTCTCACCCCACTTCCCACAGCTGAGCTCGGAAAGGAGCTGTTGCCGTTCTGCCCGAAAGCTGCATTGTTTTGCTCTGGTTTTGCCAGGCTGCAGCTGGTGGCTGCCAGACTTCACAGCTTTCCTGTGTCACAAGCAGAGCTGGGTGAGCTCTCCTGCCCGAGGCTGTGCTTTTATTAACAGGGATAGTGCCATCTTTGCCATCTTTTCATTGCCGTGGGACACTTTATTGTTCACAATTCCGCATTGTTAGGTTATGCAAGGTGTGATGTTGCAAGGACAAAAACAACACAGACCATTTTCCCTGTGGCTTTGCTTACCTCTGACAGGACCTGTGGCCACTTTCCAGAGCCAGCCAGGTGTGACTCCCAGCTTTCCTGGCGATAGGAATCTTTTCCTGTGATTATTTTGCATGTATAAGTGGGAGGACTATTAATAATTTCTATAGTGGCAGAGGCTGGGCCTAAGCAGGGGAAGGAACCCAAATGATTGGCCATAGAATCACAGAAGGATTTGGGTGGGAAAGGACCTTAAAGACCATCCAGTTCCAATCCCTTGCTATGGACAGAGAAATCTTCCACTATCCCAGTTTGCTCCAAGCCCCATCCAACTTGTTCTGGAACACTTCCAGGGATCCAGGGGCAGCCACAGCTTCTCTGGGCAACCTGTGCCAGGGCCTCAGCACCCTCAAAGGGAAGGATTTCTTCCAGTCTAAATCTCTTCTCTTTAGCTTTGTGCCAAGCCATGCTAGAGCTTTCCTCTGCTTCTGCCTGGTGTTAATGCTGCAGGATGGCTTCAGCCTGTTAAACAATCTTTGCCTGTGGTGTGGGGTGAGGAAAGTCAGAAATGACAGGAATGTTTTGCTAAGACTTGCTAGTTTTATTTAGTTTGGTTCAAAATAACCCTGTGACAAGGATCAGACTAAATTACAGCCAGACACCACATTAAGGTGGACCTGAAACTTGTTGCTTGTGATGAGGGAAAAGCTTGCTAAATTCTTTGAATTTGGGGTTTTTTAATACTGTAGGTGTGCCTGATACAAGTCAGGAAGAAATCCTTCCCTGTGATGGTGGTGAGGCCCTGGCACAGGGATCCCTGGAAGTGTTCCAGGCCAGGTTGGATGGGGCTTGTAGCAACCTGGGATAGCGGAAGGTGTCCCTGCCTGTGGCAGGGGGCTGGATTGGCATGAGCTTCAAGGTCCCTCCCAACCCAAACCATTCCTGGATTCTATGTTGATTCTATGAAATGAGCTGATAAGGAGGTTGGTCTATTTTGGGATTTACCTATAGATGGACAAAGAAGCAAAATCAGCATCCAGAACTCCCCACCTGGATATTTCCCATGGAAAATGGCACCATAACTTAATGACAAGCCATTGAAAGATGCCTCTAAAATAATCCCTGCTGCTCTCAGCCTCCAGCAGCACAGTCAGCCAGGCTGTCAGGCTTCAGGCAGTGCTTGTTCCGAGTTTTCTTTGGCTCCTGGGATACAAACCAGCCCCAGCAAACAGAGGAGAACAGGCTCTGCTCTATGGCCAAGTGGGTGAAAGGCTACGGTTGCTGCCCGGTGTAGCTTTGGCAGCACAAAGAGCTTGTGTGCGGGACATAAAAGCCTTGAGTTTAACCAAAGAGTCACGAGATGTGGCCAGAAAAGGTGAGGAACATGAAAGGGTGAGGAACATGAAGGAAGTCTGGGAAGGGGGGGATGTAGAAGTGGAGGAGTTTTTGCAGGGAGCACACGTAGAAGTGGCATGTCTGCTCTTCAGCTAACGAGTCAATGAAGGCTATCTTACTGGAATAGATTGGAATGGTGAAAAAGCAGGGAAAATCGGTAGCTCAGGTATATTTACACTGTGTCATGCATTAGTTTGATGTAAAAGGAGATCTGTTTTCCTGAGGAATGCGCTTTAAAAATGTAGCAAAAAACTGACATATTCTGTGTTTGCTGTCTCATCCCTTTGTTGAGTTTTATGGAGGAGGCAAGGTCCGATAATTTTCTTTTAATTTGGTTTTTAGGAAGGACCAGGCTTTGACAGCAGCACGCAGACAGGCACCAGCGCATGGAAATGTCCTGTAGCTGTGCTGCCATGCTCATGGATGCAGGGAAAATCCTCCTTTTCCCTCAGTTTATAGTATGAGATCCATCACTTGGTAAAGCCAGATGGCTCCAAGGCATGTGGTGGAAAAAGGAGGCAGCAGGAGAGAAAAGTGAACAAGGGAAAGACATGGAGCAGATTTCTGAAGGGGATAAAGGCAGGAACTGCGGATTCGGGGAGAAAAACAGAGTGACAATAAGATTTAGCTGCACTTTTAAACTTTTCAATACTTTTAATAGTCTTTTTGATACCTTTTTTCTTTCTGCCAGAGAAAAAAAACAAGTTAAGGAGAGAAAGGACCCCAGGTTTTCCCTGTCTTTCACAAGAGGGAAAGGCTGAGGAGCTCTGAACATAAAAATAAATAATAAATTGAATAATAAAGTCAAACATAGTGGGAAAGAGCTGGGCTGGGAACTGGGGGTTGGAGCCTGGAGCCTGAGGTGAGGGAACCCAGTGATTAGGTGGGAATGCTGCAGCAGTCCATGTATTTAAAACAAACTGCTGCCAAAGATTTCCTTAATATTTTTTACTCCAGATATTTTTTACTCTACCATATTCCACTTTTTTCCTAGTCCTGGGACAGTAGCTGAGAGCTGAGGAACTTTATGAGGGAAACAACCGACAAAGGAACAGAAATCCCCATTGTGTAGCCCTGGCTGGCAGGGATTCCACATTCTGCAGTGGATCTTGGGCTGCCGTGGGATTATCAGGGTCAGGGCACAAACTGCTCTGGCTGCCAGGGGAGCAGAAGAGGGAATCACACTCAGAAAGCAGCAGACACTGCAGCAGGGCAGGAATAAGGGGGGAAATTTTCTCTTCTGGTGCTGCTTTGTAATGATTTCTAGTGAAAATCCTACTGGTATTCTCATGTTATCATGGGATCCTTTCCTTTATTTCCTTACTCAGGTTTTGCTTTCAAAAGTGTAAAACTTGAGATCACCACCTCTCTCCCTCAGCTGCTAATCTGAATTTATGACTTCTGAAGGACAAAAGATAAGCTTATTTTTTATCTCCTCCCTTACACCCAGTAATTCCTGGGTGCTTTTCCTGCCAAGATGCTAAATCCTCCCAAATCTCAGCCTTTTTGCATCTAAATTTTAACAGTCAGTTGCATTGTTAGAGCAGAGCGCTGAGCAAATATTCCATGAAGTTACACTGCTTGTATGGAAAATCAAGAATTTATTGTGGGTATGAAGTGTTAGCAACCCAAACAAAGAGTACAACTCTAACTCATTTAGGCCAAGTTATTCCAGTATTCCAGCTAATTCCCAATAATACAACAAGAATAAAGGGAATATTTCCAATTTCTCCCCCTTCTGCTGGTGTTGCACAGATCCTTGCAGTGGATCCTAAGCCTGGTGTAGGAATGGTGTTACAGGGAGCTGTCAGGAGCTTCAGGCTCCTCCCTGGTAGTAACACAATGACTAAATTAGTGGTTTCCTGATGCATTTGCTTCATCAGCGTGGCTGTTTTAATTGCATTGGTGACAGAAGCTTGTAAATCATGCTGCCACAATTCCCCTGTGCCTGGAGTCTTCAGTTTTTCTTAGGCTGAACCAAAGCCAAGAACAGAGTCTTCTTTTAGACTCTGCCCTTTTAAACTGTTTTTCAGCATTTGTTAGTTTTTCTTTTCTTTTTTTTTCCTGTGGTTTCAGACCTCACCATTCATCATTGTAACTCATTTTCTCTAAAAGGAGAAAAGAAAGGCTGCAATCCTTTCAACCCATCTCCCTCTTTCCCTGATTACTTGTTTGATCTCCAGATGCCCAAATATTTAGTGATCCCTCACCACCCAGGTCACTTGGGTATTTTAAAGCATGTTCCAGCCAAATCATGGTCGTGAAA